TCAGAAAATCAACATAAAATAGAAGCAGAAATAAAAGATGGGTATAGAGACAGAGAATCGCTATTGCAATGTGCTGTTGCAGGACAAAACAAGGTTGTTTATTGTGTAAAACATTTTTAAAGATAATATAGTAGACATGGTTAAAGACATTCTCAGCAAATAAATAATGAATTTGATAACTTTTCTCTCAGCAATCAAAAAAATCAATGAAGTTAATCACCTGAAATCAGAGTTAAATATCCCAGAAAAAAATTGAAACTATTTTTAGCATTATCTGAGTTAGTAACTTTGGTCAATTATAAAGTGGTTTCGATTCTTGCAAATATACATATGGCAATTTTAGATGAAGTAGTCATTAAAACAAATAGAAACTGTTACTTAAGTTATGGAAATTTCATTAAAAAATTATGAATACATAAAAGATATTCTACTAATTATGAGACATTTTCCATTAGCCACCAAATAATTGCTTATAGAATACAAGACATTTTAATAATATCAAAAACCAACTGATTCAACATTTGTTAAATTACAAGTACTTTTCTTTAGCTTTGTAGAATTATACATTATAGAAGATACTGCCTGATATGGTTTGGCTCTGTGTCCCCACTCAAATCTCATCCTGTAACTCCCATAATTCCCATGTGTTGTGGGAGGGACCGGGTGGAGGATTAAATCACGGGGGTGGGTCTTTCCTGTGATGATCCGATGATAGTGAATGGGTTCATGAGATCTGATGGTTTTAAAATTGGGAGTTTCTCTGCACAAGCTCTCTTTCTTTGCCTGCTGCCATCCATGTAAGATGTGACTTGCTCCTCCTTGTCTTCCACTATGATTGTGAGGCCTCTTCAGCCACATGGAACTGTAAGTTCATTAAACCCTTTTTCCTGTATTACCTAGTCTCGGGCATGTTTTTATCAGCAGCATGAAAACAGACTAATACACTGCTCAATTAATTTTTTTGTGTACATTTTGTCTGAAAAGACTCAAATGTATAAAGAAATGTCAATTTATGGCCTACAAAACCAAATTCATCTTTTGTATCTGTCAAATAAGAATTTTGTATCTTTGTATCTGTCAAATAAGAATTTCAGCTAAGTATGAAAATTTAATTTCTAGCATAATAGATGGTGCTCCAGCTACATTAGATTAAAAATCCAGATTTACTGGAATTCTAAAACAAGAGACCAATGTTTTCATTTATGAAAATATTTTTCCTTAGCCATCTAAAGAAGAGTCTATGGGGAGTGTCATACATATAGGTGTTCTAACCATTCAGTACACATGTGCAAATGTGTGAATTATTGCCAGTTTATGGAAACGACTAAAACATTAAAAGACAGTGAATTGAATGATCTCGTGTTCTTTACCAATGTCTATAGGTTGGATGGTGGAAGAACTTTACAAGGATTTGCTGTGCCAACTCCAATTCAAAAATTTTCTTTAACAAAAAGCAATGCTTGCTAAATATTAAATCATCAAAGACAAAATATAGCATTATCACACTACATATGAATGAGTTAAATTTGAAAGGAAATGAAAAGCTTATTTGTTACCTGGTCAGGTATAAAAATTTATGCTAAAATTGATAATTTTTATAACAAATATCAATAATAATGATTGTGTATGTTTCTAACATGAAGATTTTAATTGAAAGCAATAGCATAATTTAAATTGACTGCAAAAACTACACGAAAATTTGAAGTATGCTCTATTGGTGTGCTTTGCAGGTAAATTAGTTACTTTCCAATATATACAATATTTCTTTGAATTCTATGCTAATAATACTAAGTTGTTCCAGGAGTTAGAGTCATTTAATTCAGACAGAAGTAATTTTGAAACTAATATGTTTTTGCTTCAAAGTTACATTAATTTTTCAAAAAAAGGTGAAGCAGTTTGTTGATGTAAATATGAATATTAAAGAAAAGTGAGTTTTTGGTATTTGATTCCATTACTGGTAAATTCGCTTTCTTTTTTCTTTATTTAACTTTTATTTTAAGTTGAGTGGTATATGTACAGGTTTGTTATATAGGTAAACTTTTATCTGGGGGTTTGTCATACAGATTATTTTGTCACCCATGTATTAAGCCTAATACTCATTGTTATTTTTCCTGATCCTCTCTCTCCTCCCACTGTCCACCCTCCAATAGACCCCAGTGTGTGTTGTTCACCTCTACGTGTCTATGTGTTCTCATTATTCAGCTCTCACTTATAAGAAAGAACACGTGGTATTTGGTTTTCTCTTCTTGCATTAGTTTTCTAAGGATAATGGCCTCCTGTTCCATCCACGTTCCTGCAAAGAACATGTTCTTGTTCTTCGTGGCTGCACAGTACTCCATGGTGTATATGTACCACATTTTCTTTATGCAGTCTACAATTGATGAGCATTTAGGTTGATTCCATGTCTGCTATTGTGAATGGTGCTGCAATGAATATGTGTGCATATGTCTTTATAATAGAACAATTTACATGCCCTTAGGTATATACTCAGTAACGGGATTTGGGGATCTTTTAAGTATATTTAAAACAACTTGAATATGTGAGTCTCTGTAAACTTTATGAAATCTAAATACAGATCAAATATTTCCAGTGAAAATTTAGAGCCTAAATTACGATGTGCTCTAAGTATAAAATACACACTGGATGTTGACTTCATTTCAAAAAAAGCAAAATATCTCATCATTAATTTTTATATTGAGTACATACTGGAATGATAATATTTTGGATATATTGAGTTGTGTATTGTTAAAATTAATTAATTTCTTATGTTTATTTTTGTTTTCTTAATGTGGCCACCAGCAAATTTAAACTCACATCTGCATCTCATATTCCCATTCTATTGGATAGCACTAGAGTATGCATCCTTCACTGAGACTTGTGTCTGAATAGCTACAATATATATTACCACATATACTGTGCCAGAGATTGTGCTAAGAGCTTCACAAACATATTTAACCTCAAAACAACTCAACCTCAAAACCACACACATTTAACCACAAAACAACAATGAGGTAAGTTTACCACTAGGAAAATTGAGACTCAAAGATGTTAAGTAATTTGCCCAAGGTCACACAGCTAGTAAGTACAACCAGACTTCCAATTCAGAATCCCCAAATCTGTGCCTTCAGTCACAACTGTGGCATCCATTACTCACCCACTTCCCACTTCCATGCAGGAATTCCTTCTCTGCATTTCTCAGGAAATGTATGTTTACCAAATAGTAAGAAAAATCAATCAAGAAATTGAGAAAATGGGAAAAAGTATTATAATTCTTCTTTGAGAATCAAAGATCAACAATTAACATAGAAACATTCCTGGTCTAAGGCATCCACTGATGTCATGTCAAAAGCAAGAGCAAGAAACATTGACACATGAAGTTCAACGCTAAGGTCAAAATTTCCTGGAACAGGGACAGGAGCATGTAGAAGAGAAGTGGCTACAGTCTCACTGGTCAGTCTTGCTTGTAGCTACTGTCTTGTCATCAACATGTGTTCCTGGATTTTCTGCTGCTAACAGTGAGTCACTCCTCCAAATACAATAACTATGTTTATATTATAGTAAACATTATGCAAATTCTATGAATGGTATTCAGAGAAAGAACAAGTTTTGGAAACAAAGAAAGTCTTTGAATTGACAATTCCACAGGTGATTCCGAAAGGCCCAGTTAACTTTGCGAGGAAATCAGATGTTACTTAGTCAAATACTACCCAGTGAGGTTCACTGGTGATTTCCAGCATTTGAATATTTCCAGGAAGCTTTAGTTTTTTACACCTACTACCAAAGTATAAATGCTTTACAAATATTACCAAGTACAAATATTTTACAAAGGCTACCAAACTTAATATTTCTTATTTGTTAAATAAAAATTTTTAGATGATTTCCATAGTAATGAAGAAAGAGCATGAAGAAAGTTGGATAATCTTTTTAAAATAACTTATAATTTTGGTAATTTCAGAGAATTCCCAGAAATTCCTATTTTTTATGCCAAAATCCCAAAGATGAATGTCTGTCAAGAATTTGGAAATAGTTCCTAGCACCTTAGGCCTTTAAGACTGTTCATTGAAGGAAAGAGTAAAGGAAGTGATGGGATCCACAGCACTGTGGTATTTCTCGCGTGGAAATACAAGAGAAGGAAAGAGCTACATACGTAGGTGACTAAACCTATGACTGTGGGTAGAAAGTGTAGTTGTTTCCATGAAAGGCCTCTGTCCTCTAATGATACAAGTTAGGGTCATTCATTGAGAGGAAGGCAGGAAATGGCTGGTAGAGAGGGTTCCTAACAGACTTACAAAGGTTTGAAATTGTCCTGAGGGAAGATGAGAGTTGCCATGGAATGCCTGGGAGGTCTTGTGGGCACCACCGAGTTCTTAGCTGAAGTCTACGCACTCACTACGGTAGAGAAAGGAAGCATATGACAGGCTCCCAGTGCCACAGAACTTTATGGATTTTCTGAGTAGGCCCAGGGGTACCTGCATGCACACACAAGCACAGCCACACACACATTCTCATAAACCATACCTGGAACAGTGTGCGGCTGTCACTAACAAACTGCTATGCAATGTCCACATTGCCTGTGGTGTGAGCTATCATGAAACGGGGAAGTCAGTGTGACCCAGGATGGTCTGCCAGGAGAGAAGCCACTGCAAACAGTAGGCGAAGAGAGGAAGATACACTCTAGCAAAAGTGGCATATTGGGCTGGGTGCGGTGGCTCACACCCGTAATCCCAGCACTTTGGGAGGCTGAGGAGGGCGGATCATGAGGTCAGGAGTTCGAGACCAGCCTGGCTAACATGGTGAAACCCTGTCTCTACTAAAAATACAAAAATTAGCTGGGCGTAGTGGTTCATGACTATAGTCCCAGCAATTCGGGAGGCTGAGGCAGGAGAATTGCTCGAACCTGGGAGGCAGAGGTTGCAGCGAGCCGAGATTGCACCACTGCACTCCAGCCTGGGCAACAGAGAAAGACTCTGTCTGGAAAAAAAAAAAAAAAAAAAAAAAGTGGTACCTTGGAGTAACTGGATCTCGTGTCAAGAATGATTGTGTCTGAAACTCCTCGACTCACCCTGCCTTTCACCCCTTCCCTACAAAACCGTGACTATCAGCTCTTGGAGGAACCCAAATTTGGCTCTTCTTCTCCATAACTAAGAGCCAGGTGGCCTGGTTTTCAGCCTCAGCTATATCACTAGTTTAGTGAGTGACCCTGGGCTTCTCTGAGGTCCAGCTTCCTAGGTGCATGATCTTCTGGTGAGTGGGGCATTGCTCTAGGCACCTTTGTGCTCTGTTAGCTTTCTGCCTCAAGAAACAGAGACTTACATACAGTTCTGCACCTGGAAGGACATTCAGAGTCCAGGGTGCCCTTTGCAGGTTCAGTGTACACCTGTGGCAGCTGCAGGGGCTTGCTGTCCTTAGCTCTAGTGCTCATCTTACTGTAGATGGAGCTAGGTTCCTTGTGTGTGTGTGTGTGTGTGTGCGCGCGCGCACGTGCGCATGTGCACACACGCTTCTCCTTGGATGCTTGCTTGCTTCTGTCTCTCATGGACCATTCAGAGACAGAGAGAAAATCTGATTGGCTTGGAAACATCCATCTTTCTGGTTTGGACTTAACCTTTTGGGCTAAGCCATCTCATAGAACAGTTAGCCCAGCCTACAGATCAGCTGTCTTCGGGTCAGGTGCCTGCCACAACTCTCTAAGCTATGTCCAGAGAGGACTGGCCATGTGATAGAAGGTGGCAACCGTGAGCTCAAGACTCCCCCAGCTGCTCCCTCTTGGGGCTGTAAGACACCAGGCATCCTGCTCTCCAGAGCTCCCTCCGGCTCTGGCACTTACGGAGGTTACCCTCTCCCAACCCCATGCTCCGCCTCCTAATGATATTTGATTGCATGCCAGCTAGTGCCAGACTCCAAGCTGGCGGGTGTATGTTACACTGCATAATTCTCTCAATGGCTTCCCAAGTTAGATGGGCCCCTCTTTACAGAAACAGAAATTAAGACCCAGTAAGTTAAAGTCACTCAGATAATAAGGGACAGAACCAGGAGTAGAACATAGGTCTATGTAATGTTAAGACTTATTTTCTTTCTATTGTTACCCTTATGTTTCCTTGCAAAATCTTTACAATCAGTTTCTCCCTTAGACCCTGCATCTCCAAGAACAGTAATTTATTCAAGAGAAGAACAACTGTGGCAGGAATCTGACAATAATGATCCGTATCTACTCTCTTCTCCAAGCAGAAGTGCAAGGGTTCGCAGGCCAGTCCTGCCTTCCAGGCTGCTGATGACATCCAGAGCCGCTGCACAGCACGGCCCCCTCCAGGCCCAGCTGAGGTGGCAGAGAGGCATCCTGGAAATAAATTAAAACAGACTGGTTATCCTCTGGGTGTAGCTTAAACCATATCAGAAAAATTGCCTATAAATAAAATTGGATAGCAGCCCCAACAAACCAGTGCAAGTAATTATATCAACTGGATGGCAGTAATTATTTTTCGTAAAACTCAGTTACTTCCCACCTCCCATAAATCTACCGTATGATAATTCTGTAATATGTATTCATTGTACATAAAATCAGGAGTCATTACCGAGTGTGCTGTGAATAAGCATTGGGTTTCATACCTTCTCCAAAGACCTTGAACCGTCCGTGGTTCCTGCAGCTCACTGACAGACACCCAGGCCTCACAGATCCCAGGATGGCTCTTCGGCTAGGGCCTGGGGGTGGTGGCATGGCCTGGCGTCAACCTTGCAACACTTCTGAGTTTTGCTAAGAAACAGTGTTCATGGTGTTAGGGAGGACACTCTGATAAGACAGTGGTAGGGAGTAAAATGGAGAGCATTAGGGGAGCTGGATCCATTACGCACCCTCCTTCCATTTCTCCTGTTTCTCCTCCTGTTTTACGGTCGTAGACACACAGCAGTAGTTCCCTCTCTCAGGAGAGCAGTGGCTGGGGTCAGAATGCGGTGTACTAGTCCCAGCCTTGCCAGTCAACTTGCTGTGGCCTTGGTAACATCGCTTCTTTGGACATCTGGTTTCTTGTCTGTAAAGATACAGATAAGGCTATTTTACTTCATTTATTTATTTTCTTTTTTAAAAAAATGTGAGTTGGAGTCTTGCTCTGTCACCCAGGCTGGAGTGAGGTGGTATGACCCAGCTCACTGCAGCCTCGAACTCTTGGGCTCAGGGGATCCTCCCACCTCAGCCTCTGGAGTAGCTGGGGTTACAGGCCCACACTGCCATGCCTAGCTACTTTTTTAAAAAAATTAAAGACTTTATTTAAAGCAATTTTAGGTTCATAGCTGTATTAGTCTGTGCTCACATTGCTATAAAGAAATCCCTGAAACTGGGTGCTTTATAGAGAAAAGAGGTTTGACTGGTTCATGGTTCTACAGGCTGTACCGGAAGCATAGAGGCTTTTGCCCGGCTTCCGGGGAGGCTCCAGGAAATTTCAGATTGTGGAGGAAGGCGAAGGGGAAGCAGGAAAGTCTTGAATGTCTTATATGGCTGGAGCCGGAGCAACAGGGGCGGGGGATGCTGCACACTTTTAACCAACCAGGTCTCATGAGATCTGTGTCATGAGAATAGTACCAGGGGCATGGTGCTAAACCATTCAAGAGAAACCACCCCAGTGATCCAGTCACCTCTCACCAGGCCCCATCTCCAACACTGGGGATTACAATTCAACCTGAGATTTGGGTGGGGACACAGATAAACCAAATCAACAGCAAAACAGCAGGAGGCACAGAGATTTCCCACGTGTCTGCTGCCCCCACACGTATATTGCTCCCCCATTGTCAGCATCCTCCACCGACTGGTATAGTTGTTACAGTCGATGAACCTACATTGCCACGTCCTCACCCAAAGCTCACAGTTTACATTAGGGCTCGCTTTTGGTGTTGTACATTCTATGGGTTTGGACAAGTGTGTGATGATATGTAAACACCATACAGTGTTTTCACTTCCCTAAAAACCCTCCGTGCTCCAACTGTTTCATCCATCTGTCCACTGTGTGTTGCTATAGCAAAATATCCGAGACTGGGTGATTTATAAAGAACAGGAACTTACTTCTCACAGTCTGGAGGCTGAGACGTCCAAGAGCAAGGTACTGGCAAGTTCAGTTGTCTGTGACAGTTGCTCTCTGCTTCCAGGATGGTGTCCTATTGCTGCATCCTACAGAGCAGGGAATGCTGTGTCCTCACATGGCAGGAGGCTGAAGGACAAGAGAGTCAAATGCTGTGAAGCCTCTTTATAAGGGCCTTAGTCCCATTCATAAGGGCAGGAGCCCTCATATCTAATTGTTCTTACAGACCTCACTTCTTAATGCCATCACACTGGCCATTAAGTTTCAACATCTGAATTTTTAAGGGTACACAATCAAACCATAGCATCATCTCCCCCTAAACTAGTTCATTTGGTTCAATGGATCTTCCTTAAGTACCTCTTTTGTGCCAGGCACTGTGTTCAGTGTCTCCAGCAGTACTTGAGACCGTCCTTGACTTCTTGATGCTGACAGTCGATGGGGGAATACAAGCCAACATTGAGTTACAGGGGTGCTGGTTACGATGATGGAGAAATGAGGGATGCAGCAGGAGCATTGAGCAGGAGATCTAATCCAGCTGGTTGGTGGGGGGATTGGCGAGGAGTAGTGGTAGAGAAGGTTTCCTGGTGGCAGTGACACGTAAGCTGATACCTAAAGGAGAAGGTGGAGAGAGTCTCTGGCAGAGGAAAGGTGCCAACGGCTTAGAATAGGGAAGCACCTTCCCCCAGAGCCTGGAATTCCTGGAGGACAGGAATTGTGTCTTGGTCTTCCTCTTATGTGATGGCTGGACAAGTGTTTGCTCATCTGTAGCAAGCTTGTAAAGCAGGCATTGTGATCTAGATCCTATACATAGGAGCCTGACCCAGGCCACACAGTCTGCTTCTGGTAGAACAGTATCTGCCATCTTGCAAACCAGTGCTGTGTCCAGATAGGAGGGTCAGATGAGGTCCTAGATGTGAGGGTCAGATGAGGTCCTAGAGGCAACAAGAGTTTGAGACCTGAGAGCTGCTGAACCCATGAGACCTGGTAATTATTTCTGTAGATTCCTTCCTTTTTTCTCTCTCTGAATGGCAACCGCTAGGACTTTGGCTCCCAGAACAGCTGCCCAGCTGCCTTGTTTTCGGCTTGGATGTAATTTCAGAGTGTGAACTTTACACTTGTGCTTCCCTTCGCCATCTGTGCCTGAATTGGAAATTCTAAGGAGCAGTCCTCCTCCCCCGCTGGCAGCTGGAAATGTGCCTTCTCCTTAGTCCCCAGAAAGCTCATCTGCTCCCTCAGGTCAGATCAGGACTGCAGGGCTCCTCATGTCGGCCCAGCAGACCCTCCCAGGAGCTGCCAGGAAACCTGGTACGGATTGCATGGGAGGGTAGGAGCATATATTTCCATAGGAGCGTATATTTCCATATTAATTGGTTATTTAGTATCACTTTAAAAGGTTGACAAGTCTCAGAGACACACATCATTCTGACAAACAAAAGGAGGCTCTACTATCTCTTTTCGAACTTGAGAACGTTGTCAGCTGTGCCAACGTTGACATGAATTCTCTACTTTGACTTGAATTCTCATTATTTCAGAGAAAGTTCTCCCTGGTCTTTGGTCTTACCCCTAACCAATCTCTTAACCCCAAAGACCCTCACTATCAACTTCCCCATCTCCTGAGTCGGGGGAACAGAGGGAATCAGAGAGAGTTCATTTTTTCCCCATATGACACACAGTCTGGACAGCCTGTGGCTGTCGTCACACAGGCTGCCCAATTCTCTTTCTTGGCACCCCTCAGTGGGTCACAGTGATCATTGCTAATTAAGACAAAAGTCCACACACAGTGTCCCTGAACAGCTCTTCCCACTGCTCCCCATTTAGTTGTCCCCATTATTACAGGATTGTCACAGGGTCAGATATGAAAAATTAAAGAAAAAATACCACCCAGGTGTGGTGGCTCACGTCTGTGATCCCAGCACTTTGGGAGGCTGAGGCAGGTGGATCACGAGGTCAGGAGATCGAGACCATCCTGGCCAACATGGTGAAACCCTGTCTCTACTAAAAATATAAAAAAATTAGCTGGGTATGGTGGCGTGTGCCGATAGTCCCAGCTACTCGGGGAGGCTGAGGCAGGAGTCACTTGAACCCAGGAGTGGAGGTTGCAGTGAGCCGAGATCATGCCACTTCACTCCAGTCCGGCGACAGAGCGAGACTCCATCTCAAAAACAACAACAATAACAACAACAAACCAAAACGGCAAAATGATTGAAGGCAGTGGGAGATTCTATAATTATGATTAGAAATCTAGGTTAATAGAACCTACTGCAATTGTGTCTGAAGCAAGATAGCCATAGAACTCGCTTATTTAATAAGAGGCATGCAAGGTGGTCAGGGGAGATATGGTCCCTTAAAACAGGATCCACTGAAGGATTCAAAGTTGGATTTGTGCTCGCTGGAGGTGTTCAGAAGACAAGAGCACACAGATTGCTGGGCTGTCCTGTTAAACCTTAGAAAAATCCCATGCTTCTTCTGGGATGGGCCGTGGCTCTTAGCTGGACTTTTCAAGCCATGGTAAAAATTAGAATTAGTTTAAAATCTAAATTTGAATGAAGTGATAGCAAGGCTATTTTGCACAGGAAGACATGTGATTATATCCAGACTCCTTACGCCGAGGACTCAATGGTCAGGACTGGGTCTCATGCCCACCTATTGGCCAATCACTGGCAAGAAGATGTGGTCTGGGACTAAAGACAGTGCATCCTCCCCAAGTCTCATGAAAGGAAGAAGGCGTGGGAAGGGAAAGCAGGGGTTTGGAAAGGCTAAGAGTGGAGGAGGAGTGGGCACAGAGAGGACCAGGCAGGATGGTTATCAAACTTAGAATGGGGAGGAAATGGAATTCCCAAACATTCACAGATTCCTTTAATATGCTGTAGAATTAACTTCTTCTTGAACCTGTCTATGTGCCACCTCTCAGGGAAAAAACTCAGAAACCTTCCTCCTCCAGAAGATGTGGAGAAATAAGAACACTTCTACACTGCTGGTGGGAGTGTAAATTAGTTCAACCATTGTGGAAGACAGTGTGGTGATTCCTCAAGAATCTAGAACCAGAAACACCATTTGACCCAGCAATCCCATTACCGGGTATATAACTAAAGGATTATAAATCATTCTACTATAAAGACACATGCTGACATATGTTTATTGCAGCACTGTTCACAATAGCAAAGACTTAGAACCAATCCAAATGCCCATCAATGATAGACTGGATAAAGAAAATGTGGTACGTATACACCATGGAATACTATACAGCCATAAAAAAGGATGAGTTTATGTCCTTTGCAGGGACATGAATGAAACTGGAAGCCATTATTCTCAGCCAACTAACACAAAAACAGAAAACCAAACACCACATGTTCTCACTCATAAGTAGGAGTTGAACAATGAGAACACCTGGGCACAGGGAGGGGAACATCACACACCTGGACCTGTCAGGGAATCGGAGGCTGGGGGAGGGATAGTATTAGGAGAAACACCTAATGTAGATGACGGGTTGATGGGTGCAGCAAACCACCATGGCACGTATATACCTATGTAACAAACCTGCACGTTCTGCACATGTATCCCAGAACTTTAACTATTAAAACAAACAAACACACACACACACAAAAAATCTTTCCTCCTCCATAGGTAAAGAATGCATTGATTGTATTTGTTCCACAGTGTCTCCTTTCACAGACATTTCTCAGTCAGCTGTTGTGAGATTTGGTCAACACCTCAGCTTCTGTGCCTTTCACACCCATTTTGTCTCTGTATACTTCAGAGTTCACCTTTTTGTCACGTTCCTGGGTTGTTAATCTCCCCTGCCTTCTTAGATCTTCTCCAGCCCGCCAGATCTTTCTAAGGATATAGGGAGTCAGCTTGCACAAATAAAGTTCTCCCGGTCTGTGGCTTACCTTGTTGTGTTTTAAACGTGTCTTTCAAAGAGCTAAAGTTTGTAATTTTGAAGAAGTCTATTCATATCTTTTCCCATAAAATGTGCTTTCTTTGTTCTAAGGAATCTTTGCCTACTCCCAAGCTTGCGAATATTTCCCCCTATACTTTCTTCTAGGCATCTTACATTTTAAATTTTTATATTTAAGTCTGTGATCCACTTGTTAATTATTTTATATAGTGTGATACAAACACTAATGTCTGCTTTTTTTCCTTAGAGAATCAGGTTATGAAGCAGTATTTGTTGAAAAGACTTATTTCACCCCTTGCATTGCCTCAGCTCCTGTGTAGACTATCAAACAATCATATATGTGTTGTTTTATTTCTGATTTCCCTATTTTTTCCACCTCCCATTTTCAGAAGACGAATTTTCTCTTCTTATCATTGATTTCTATGTCTGTCTTTTCACCAGTTAGTCTTAAAATCAGATAGTGTTAAGTCCTCCAACTTTTTCTTAGAAAAATTGCTTTTTTAAAACATCCTTTACATTTCCAAATAAATTTTTGAATCAGCTTTCCAATTTATATTTTTTAAAAGATCATTAGAATATTGAGGCCATGATAAATCTATAAGTCACTTTGAGGAGAATAGCCATCTTAATAATATTGAGTCTTCCAATTCCTGGACATGGTATATCTCTAAATTTATTTAGGTCTTGTTTAATTTCTCTCATCAATTTTTAATTTTCAGTGTATAAATCTTGAATATATTTTGTCAGATAAATACCTTAGAGATATATGATTTGGGGGACACTATGGTAAATGGAACGGTTTTAAAATTTCATTTCCCAATTGTCTGCTGATACCATATATAAGAATATCATATTTTTTGTATATTAACTTTCTATCTTGCAACTTTGCTAAATCCGCTTCTTAGTTCTTAGAGTTGTTCTGTAGATCCTCTAAAGTTTTCTACGTGAACAACTGTATCATCTGAAATAGGGACAGTTTCATGTCTTCCTCTCTAATTTTTATACCTTTTGTTTGTTTTTCTTGCCTTAGTATAGTAATTAAAACCTCCAGGACAATGTTGAATTGGGATGGATGTTGAATTGCAATGAAAATGGGAATCCTTGTCTTGTTCTCCATTTCAGGGGAAAACAATTCAGTCTTCATTATAAGTATGATGTTGGCTTTAGTTTTTCACAAACACCCTTTATCAGTTTGAGGAAGATCTGTACAGTTTCTAGCTTCTGAGAGGTTTTTTGTTTTTTAATCATGAATGGGTATTGATTTTT